AGTTATAGACTTTTTAATCATCACATTCTCTGCACCAGATAGCTCAATATAATGTATGCCATTAGTTGGTTTCACAGAATTATCTGTCTAGAAAGGAAAATGGTTGTCCATGGTTGCTATCAATTTGAATGGGAACATTGCTCTTTATAAATCCAGGGCTAAGGCATATTTCTCATATCTGTTACTCGTAATTGCAGGTCTTGTGTAAGCTTACAGTGTGCTTATATGTAACAATATTTTTTGCATGTCTGAAGCATATATCTGAGCCAGCCTTTGTTATATTAACTATGCCAACTGAGGTACACTTCCCTTCTGGAATATTTAACGTTTATTAAAGTATTTCAAGTAGAAACTAATGACTGAACTATAGGCTAAACACACAAAATTATAATATTTTCATGTTTTATCTTGCCACAGGGGACAGAATGATGGACAGCTGGGGCGAAGGACTTCAAAACATCTCCAAGCCCGCCAGGCAAGCAAACAGTGTGGAGTAAGCACAAAGGGGTCAAGCTTCTGATTGGAGCATCATATGTTAATCTAACCCGGCCAGTAGGGGAGTCCAATGAAAGTCTGTCTTTAGCTAGCAGTTATTATGACAGCAGTTTCAGTATCTATAAAGGGATACTCAAACTATACTCCTTTAGGTAAACATTACCAAGAAGCCTGGAAAATACACTTAGGAAAGCATAAAATATTAAAGCGCACCCATCTCAAAGACAACATATACAACACACATTTTTTTCAGTTGACTTACTAGTAGTACACTGTGCAACACATAATAATGCTTCATGAAGTGGATTGTTGCCCCTGTGAAAACTCCCACTTGAGAAAGTATGAAGTTACTTGGATGTGTGTATTAATTTGCTGTCACCACATGACTGGAGGTGCAGGTGATGTACTGAGCAGGATCACTCAGAGTATGTATTATTTGAGTAAGTGTAAGAACAGATTTCACTAATGATCAGTAAACATTCCTTAAAGACACAATCGACGATTGATACATTTTGGGACTTTTGTAATAAAGATGTGTATAATTTCAGCTAGTAGTTTTGAAAGTGGTACTCACGAGCCAAAACGGGTCCCCTTTTTTTGTGTACTACACCATCCAATTGTGTACTACGTCATCTATTCCGTATAATATGTTATGAATTTTGCATGTCATATGATATCATACAAAATTTGTAATTCGTGTGATATTTTACAAATCCAATTTGTACAATATGTTACTAATTTGTTGTGCTTAAGATCCCAGAGTGTATCTTTAATGATATACATGTATACCCCTCAAACTCAACTCTGGACCTCGAAGCCAGTTCCACTGCGTTTTTTCATTGTTCCCCTCTAATTAGGGACTGATTTAGACCTGGGACACCAGGTGGGTGAAATTAAATATCAGGTAGAACAGAAAACACGCAGGCTCTGGCCTCGTAGGGTAAGCGTTGAATACCCCTGATACACAGTGCCTTGCAAAAGTATTAATCCCCCTTGGCGTTTTTCCTATTTTGTTGCATTACAACCTGTAATTGAAATGGATTTGTATTTGTATTTCATGTAATGGACATACACAAAATAGTCCAAATTGGTGAAGTGAAATGAAAAAAGGACTTGTTTCAAAAAATTCTAAAAAATAAATAGCGGAAAAGTGGTGTGTGCATATGTATTCACCTCCTTTGCTATGAAGCCCCTAAATAAGATCTGCTGCAACAAATTACCTTCATAAGTCACATAATTAGTTAGATTGCACACAGGTGGACTTTATTTAAGTGTCACATGATCTGTCACATGATCTCAGTATATATACACCTTTTCTGAAAGGCCCCAGAGTCTGCAACACCACTAAGCAAGGGGCACCACCAAGCAAGCGGCACCATGAAGACCAAGGAGCTCTCCAAACAGGTCAGGGAGAAAGTTGTGGAGAAGTACAGATCAGGGTTGGGTTATAAAGAAATATCGCAAACTTTGAACATCCCACGGAGCACCGTGAAATCCATTATTAAAAAATTGAAAGAATATGGCACCACAACAAACCTGCCAAGAGAGGGCCGCCAACCAAAACTCACGGACCAGGCAAGGAGGCCATTAATCAGAGAGGCAACAAAGAGACCAAAGATAACCCTGAAGGAGCTGCAAAGCTCCACAGCGGAGATTGGCGTATCTATCTATAGGACCACTTTAAGCTGTACACTCCCCAGTGCTGGGATTTACGGAAGAGTGGCCAGAAAAAAGCCTGGTGTTCGCCAAAAGGCATCTGGGAGACTCACCAAACATATGGAAGAAGGTACTCTGGTTAGATGAGACTAAAATTGAGCTTTTTGGCCATCAACGAAAACGGTATGTCTGGCGCAAAACCAACACCTCTCATCACCCGGAGAACACAGATGTTTTTCATCAGCAGGGACTGGGAAACTGGTCAAAATTGAAGGAATGATGGATGGTGCTAAATACAGGGAAATTCTTGAGGGAAACCTGTTTCAGTCTTCCAGAGATTTGAGACTGGGACGGAGGATCACCTTCCAGCAAGACAATGACCCTAAGCATACTGCTAAAGCAACACTCGAGTGGTTTAAGGGGAAACATTTCAATGTCTTGGAATGGCTTAGTCAAAGCCCAGACCTCAATCCAATTGAGAATCTGCGGTATGACTAAAAGATTGCTGTACACCAGCGGAACCCATCCAACTTGAAGGAGCTGTAGCAGTTTTGCCTTGAAGAATGGGCAAAAATCCCAGTGGCTAGATGTGCCAAGCTTTTAGAGACATACCCCAAGAGACTTGCAGCTGTAATTGCTGCAAAAGGTGGCTCTACAAAGTATTGACTTTGGGAGGGTGAATAATTATGCACGCTCAAGTTTTCAGTTTTTAGTCTTATTTCTTGTTTTTTTCACAATAAAAAATATTTTGCATCTTCAAAGTGGTAGTCATGTTGTGTAAATCAAATGATACAAACTCCCAAAAAATCCATTTTAATTCCAGGTTGTAAGTCAACAAAATATGAAAAATGCCAAGGGGGGTGAATACTTTCGCAAGCCACTGTATACCACTTGATTCTTAAAGAGTATAACTTGTCAATTGTAATGAAACACTGTATAGCCTCAACCCAAGGTTAAAACTATAATTATGATCTCATGGATAGCCGGTCCTTGCATCCATAGCTCTGTCTATGAGTTTGAGAGTGGTTACATTTCTCCAGCCCCATCCCTCAGCTGTTTACCAAATCAGTGGTGGGGTGATGCGCTTTGTTATGGTTAAACTGCAGATTGCCACTTTAAGCATCAACTTGCTTTCTGGCCTTTATTCAGATGAATTCCCATTTTGGCTCACGCTTTCCTTCGACTCCCCTATTGCAATTTTTCTTTCCATTTTGACATACACATCAGTCATTGAATGAAAAGAAAGAAAGTGGGCAAATGTTTTACGCAAGCAAGCAGCTACTGTACACCAAACATTTCAAATTTTGGAGCATTGCCATGCTTCATTAGCTTTGTTTGGACTTCACATGGGTGCACTGTGTGGCTATACAAACTACTGTTTCATATTTTCCCGAGAATAAATCACTTTTCCCTCCAGTAACATAGTATTTCCCACCAAAACCGAAAGTTTCATTCAAAAGCATTATAAAGCAAATACTGTACATAGGCCTATGTCTGGATTTTATTAGAATACAAAATAGTGTCCAGCAAGCTATACTAGTCTAGCTTTTCCTTCATGGGACTCCAAGAGCTATGGAGCGTCTTTTAAGGAGAGAAGCCAGCGGAGCACAGGTGCGTGCATATTAGGCAAGAGACTATAAGTTAGAAGCTTATTATGCATTACCAATTATTAATTAGCTAAATATAAGGCTAATACTGCATTGAATGTATTACCTGAAAGGGGTAGGCTAGGACATCTATAGGGCTATATATACATCTAGAACAGGATTATCTATGTTGAATGAAATTTGAATGGAGTTGTTGGAGAGAGAGAAACACTGTGAGAGTGCTTGTGCGTGGCACTGATTTAATGCAACAATATTTCAGTGATAGGCTGTTTTAAAACTCTGGAGCTGCAATAAAAAAAATATTCAGTATATATATATCTTTACAACAAAAAGGTGACCCCCGAACGCCAGATGGAGATGGGTAAATTAGACGTGCATTCGGTCTTTATATTATAATAATAATATGCCATTTAGCAGACGCTTTTATCCAAAGCGACTTACAGTCATGCGTGCATACATTTTTGTGTATGGGTGGTCCCGGGGATCGAACCCACTACCTTGGCATTACAAGCGCCGTGCTCTACCAGCTGAGCTACAGAGGACCACCTATTACTTACTGCAGCAGACTATGCTGCAGCAAATATAGGCCTACCTGTCACAAGAAAATAAGTTACCATGATGAGATGATTGCATTGTGAACTGCGCTCCATACTGAGATGGGCTGTCTGACCCCACCCTGAGCGTTGATGATTCATCATGCAGAGGCCGTAGAGAAGCCAGATTTAGACATCGCATATACTGTCATTTAACAGTTCCATTTCATGCCATGCTGTTCATATAAATAATGTATCATAATTTACCGGTTTCTTGCAGTTAACTGGGTCCCCGCCATTCTACCCTATTACAAACTGCCATCTAGAGCACTGTTTGCAATTAATGTATGCATTGACCCCTTTGGTTCTCTTCTGGTTGTTATGCATGCCATTGTTGAATAGATCATTTTCAGTATGCCATGCCTGCTGTTTGCAATCTTCTGAATGAACAAACAGAATGATGTGTTTGACGTCTTTTGTTTCATATACAGTGTAATTACATTGAAATAATTATAATTTTGGCACAGTGAAATATGATAGTCTTAACATTACTCACACTGGCTCATGTATAATTTAGAACTCTTTAACAGATCATTTCCCAAAACCACCTTCTTTCAGGAGCCAATCAGAAGAGTTTTTGAGGGAATCTCCCCAACAAGTCCTCCCACCCCCCTCCCCAAAAATTATCAAACGCCCCTCCACTTCTCCAATGCCAAGCCGCTCAGGGTCAGCACCGAACACACCCCTCACCCCCCGAAAGAAAGTTGTTGTGCCAACTGACTACCAAGACACGGTCCCTGGTGAATTTGAGGAAAAGGTGAAACATCCAAAATCATCAGCCATGTCTCAAAGCAGTACCCAGGACTCCCGTCCTCAGACACCTGTCAGTGTCAGCGAGTACTCCCGCAAGGAATACCAAACTAGGCCGTCCCCCAAACTGACCAGAGTAAGCTCCAAGATCTTCGAGAAGGTGCGCGGTTTCGAAGAGCGAAGGCGAAGTTATGATCATGAAGGCTCCATCTCGGGACGGTCCTGGGCCGGGTTCAATCGCGCTGGGTCTGTCGACTCGGACGATGGAGGGAGCCGGTTGGGCATCTCCAGAGAGAGTTCGAAGGAAGACCTACGAGAAGCTCTGAAGGAGGACGCTGCCGAACGGAGGTCCATGTTCAGACAGAGGGCTGCGTCCTTGGAGGACTGCAGGCCCCGTACCACCCAGAAGGTCCAGGAAATCGAAAACAAGTTCACTGAAGAGCTTCAACGAATCAAGAAGCTTGTGGGTAAACATCACATGAAGAAGTCCTTCTCCACCGAGCAGCTCTCGCTCAGGGCAAATGGCAGGCAGCCTTTGAGGAAGATTGAGCCCCTCCCACCTCAAATTCTACAGAAGCTCCAGGAACGGGAGCGTGCCCAGCAGGAGAAGGAGCAGAAAGAGACGGAACAGCCCAAATACGTAGTGCCACCACAACTGCAACTACAAGAACAAGCACGGCAGGGACAACCTTCACCCCAAACCCAAGAGATTGAGCGGCCCTCCATGAGTAGCATAACGTTCAGTAGATTGGGAGAAGTAGCAGCCACTCCAGAATCTATGCAACTGGCTGACTTACCAGGACAGAGGCCAACAAGACAGGTAAATCAAGCCAGTCAAGTCAGGGAGATCCTTCAGAGGTCTCCATCACCAGCAAAGATGCAGATGCAGAGGGCTTACAATCCATCGTCAAATCGCCAACAGCGGGCAGAGTCATCAAGCAGAAATGTTGTCGAGATGACGTTACACAAAGTTGAACGCAGGCCAGAAAGCCCTCTTGTTCAGAGGGTATCTCGTATGCAAGAATCTCAGGACATCCAAGAACCTCCTGCACAAAAGTCCCCAAACGAAGAATTGACAGGAACAAAAACACCTGTAGATGTAGCATTAAGAAAAGTAGAGGATAGACCAGAAAACCCATTGGTACAGAGAATGCCTACCATTGTACAAGAGCATACAATCCAACATTCGCAAAAACCTCCACGGCTGGCTACCTCTTCTACAAATGTTCCAGTATCCCCCTCTGAGGAGAAAATGGAAGTGGAGTTGATCAAGCCAGCCCCCAAGCTAATCATACCTACCATCATTGTTGAAGAAGAGCCCATGGAAGAGGAAGTTCCTCCAGAGACTGACAAGTCTAAGAAGGCAACCAATGCGAAAGAAGGCCAAACACAGAAGACCAGGGGGAAGGGTCGCCGTGCTAGTCCCATGTCTCCAGAGTTAGGTGGGAATTATTTTCAATCTCAGTCTTTCTTTATCAAAATGAAAATGTCTGTGTATATTAGAGGCTTGTATCTTATTTCCCTTGTCTTTGCAAAGTTCAACTCTCATCGGTATTCCTTAGTTCTGAACACAGCCATGAATGTCTTTGTAATTATGTTTTGTAATTTGTGCAGATTCTTCAGACGACTCTTACGTGTCTGCTGAAGAGGACCCCTTGGAGGCCCCTATGTTTGAGTTTCCTCTTAAGGACACTGTGGTAACTGCTGGTACTGAGGTCCTGCTGAGAGTCATCATTGCTGGCATGCCTCCCCCAGAAGGCAAGCTATCTCTATCTCTTTACAAACAAAGTTTATATCCAGAACCTAAAAGGGGTCATCGGCTGTCCCCATGGGAGAACCCTTTTGAAGAACCCTTTTGGGATGCAGGTAGAACCCTTTCCCTTTCCAACCCAAAATGATTTATCCTTGAAAGGGTTCTCCCATGGGGACAGCCAAAGAACCATTTTGGAACCCTTTTCTTCTAAGAATGTAGTAACCACCTTCACTCCGGTTTCTTGAGCACAAATTTGAGCATATCTTATATTTGTCTGTGTCCATATCTAGTTACCTGGAGGAGAGACAATATTGCGATCAGTAACAGCTCAAACTATGGGGTCAAAGTGGAGGGAGAGCGTTATTCACTTCTCATCAAATGTGCAAAACCAAGTGATGCTGGAACGTACTGTGTGACAGCTGCCAATGAGGCTGGGAAAACATCTAGCAGTGCCACCCTTTCGATCAAACCAGGTAAGCATGAGTTGCAACATTGCGTTGGTTGGGTCACACTTTACTTAAAGTTGATTTAATAATACCTTGTTGTTATTACTAAACAAGAAGTGGTACTGAAGGTTAGAGACCTTTTGATTTACCGGCCCTTACCTTGAACCTGATGTCTGCTTGATGTCCTTTGGGAATGGCACCTGTCTATTGCTAACCTTTTTATTCTACACTCTTAGACATTTTTGGCTATCTAGAACATAAAATGGTTCTTTGGCTGTAGGAACCCTTTTAGAACCTTTTTTTCGAAGGGTGTAAGTCCTTTGGTTATTTCAGAAAAATGAATTAAAGGATGATGTGGACATTTTTGTCACTCCATTGACCTATGTGTGTGTCATTGTTATTTGCCCTGCCAGAGAAAGTGTCATTTCAAAAGGATGTACGTAGTTATTTCCTTCTTCATGAAGCTATTTCCTAATTTCTCCTCACCCCTCCATCTTTCATAATCTCTCTCTCCCTCTCTCTCTCTCTCGCTCTCTCTCTTCCTCCCTCTCGCTCCCTCTCACCAAAATGTGTGCAAGTAATATATTCCAGCTGAGCCAACTCACGTGTAGTTACCATAGCAACTAGGAGGCTAAATTGAACCAATGAATTGTTAAGACACACTGGTTTCATTGCAATATAAAGCCACTGTTGTTACGATATGATGCAAGTAACATCTTGTCTAGGGTAAATTACATCATGACCTTGTTTTTTAAGCATACAGTGCCTTGCAAAAGTATTTATCCCCTTTGGCGTTTTTCCTATTTTGTTGCGTTACAACCTGTAATTTAAATGGATTTTTATTTGGATTTCATGTAATGGACATACACAAAACGAACCCACAACCCTGGCGTTGCAAGCGCCATGCTCTACCAACTGAGCTACACAGGGCTTATTATTGCATCTAGAACTTATATTACTCAAATGAGAAACTTAGACCCTTTTGCTCCCAGAGCCATCAAGATGGTCATATTCTTTACAGTGTACAAATGAATGAGAATATGAATGCTTGTATGTGAGGGAGAAAAAGAGAGAGAGGGAGGATAAGGGAGTAGCCTTAACAGCTGAGGTTAGCAATGAAACACTCATGATAATGCAAACAAGCACACATTATAGTACATCATTTGTCATATGTACTTTAAAAGCTCCTTTATACATGGTCCCCTTTCAGACATATAGGACTGTGTAAGTCCCCTATAGTCTCATAAAAGACCCAATAAGAGAATTCCTGCTGAATACAAATTAGATAGATTTTTATAAACTTCCAAGGTGGGCAAATAGAATATTCAGTATAATAACTTTAATAAATGAGACATTATTACTTAAGAATTTAAATGGTTATCATGATTATGTTTACAAGTAATGAAATACATATTTATGAATAGTTCATAAATAGTTTATTACTGCTTATTCATGAAAGTTATTATAAAACTGATGAAATATATTTTTTAAGCCATGTCATACATAATTTAAATGCTTATAAGCCTATACGTATAGATGTTTTATTTTACAATTAGTTATGAAATACCTATTTATTCATAGTTTCTAAATAGTTTATTAGTGGTAATACATACAAGTTATTATAAAGTGTTACAGAATATTCAAAATACTTTTTAGGTACAGATTAATGTTGGCATACTGTTGATGTAAGAGGAGACCTTTTTACAGCATTTACTTTTTACCACAATTACACTGACACTGAAAGTATTCAGACCCCTTGACTTTTTCCAAATTTCTTACGTTACAGCCTTATTCTAAAATTGATTAAATATTTTTTTCCCCCTCATCAATCTACACACCCCATACCCAATACCCCATAATGACAAAGCAAAAACGTTTTCTTTTTTTTTTACATTTTTGGTATTAAAATAAATAAAAAATACTGAAATATTACATTTACATAAGTTTTCAGACTCTTTACTCAGTACTTTGTTGAAGCACCTTTGGCAGCGATTACAGCATCGAGTCTTCTTGGGTATGACACTACAAGCTTGGCACACCTGTATTTGGGGAGTTCCTCCGATTCTCCTCTGCAGATCCTCTCGAGCTCTGACAGGTTGGTTGGGGAGCGTTGCTGCACAGCTATTTTCAGATCTCTACAGAGATGTTCGATTGGGTTCAAGTCCGGGCTCTGGCTGGCCCACTCAAGGACATTCAGAGACTTGTCCCGAAGCCACTCCTGTGTTGTCTTGGCTGTGTGCTTAGGGTCGTTGTCCTGTTGGAAGGTGAACCTTCACCCCAGTCTGAGGTCATGAGCGCTCTGGAGCAGGTTTTCATCAAGGATCTCTATGTACTTTGCTCCGTTCATCTTTGCCTCGATCCTGACTAGTTTCCCAGTCCCTGCCGCTGACAAACATCCCCACAGCATGATGCTGCCACCACCATGCTTCACCGTAGGGATGGTGCCCGGTTTCCTCCAGACATGACGCTTGGCATTCAGGCCAAAGAGTTCAATCTTGGTTTCATCAGACCTGAGAATCTTGTTTCTCATGGTCTGAGAGTCTTTAGGTGCGTTTTGGCGTTTTGGCATTCAGGCCAAAGTGGGCTGTCATGTGCCTTTTACTGAGGAGTGTCTTCCGTCTGTCCACTCTACCATAAAGGCCTGATTGGTGGAGTGCTGCAGAGATGGTTGTCCTTCTGGAAGGTTCTCCCATCTCCACAGAGGAACTCTAGAGCTCTGTCAGAGTGACCATCGGGTTCTTGGTCACCTCTCTGGCCAAGGCCCTTCTCCTCTGAGTGCTCAGTTTGGCCAGGCAGCCAGCTCTAAGAAGAGTCTTGGTGAATCCAAACTTCTTCCATTTAAGAATGATCGAGGCCACTGTGTTCTTGCGGACCTTCAATGCTGCAGACATTTTTTGGCACTCTTCCCCAGATCTGTGCCTCGACACAATCCCGTCTCGGAGCTCTACGGACAATTCCTACGACCTCACGGCTTGGTTTTTGCTCTGACATGCACTGTCAACTGTGGGACCTTATATAGACAGGTGTGTGCCTTTCCAAATCATGTCCAATCAATTGAATTTACCACAAGTGGACTCCAATCAAGTTGTAGAAACATTTCAAGGATGATCAATGGAAACAGGATGCGCCTGAGCTCAATTTCGAGTCTAATAGCAAAGGGTCTGAATACTTATGTAAAAAATGAAATTTGCAAACATTTCTAAAAACCTGTTTTCGCTTTATCATTATGAGGTATTGTGTGTAGATTGCTGAGCTTTATTTTTTAAATCCATTTTAAAATAATGCTGTAACGTAACAAAATGTGGAAAAAGTCAAGGGGTCTGAATACTTTCCGAAGGCACTGTATGTTGCACTCTTGAAATATTAACTGCCGTTGAATATACATTTTGGGTCTTACAGTTCCAAAATCATACATTTTCATGTTTACAGTTACCAATATTTAATATCTAAGAACCAACGTTTAATATCTGAGAGAGAGAGAGAGAGAAAGAGATGGGAGGAGAGAGAGAGAGAGAGAGGTAGAGCTTCAATCACAACCTTTCTGTGTTTACTATTCATGGTTTGACCCACCATTTCTTTATTATGTCTGTTTTCTGGACTGGATTGCACATTTCTTAATGACATTTAACTATGACACAATAAAAGTAAAGCCTTGTTCACCTTCGGAGGCAGGTTCTCCAGATACTGTGATCACAACATGGAAAATAAAGTATAGTTTCTATTCTATTCTTCATCTGATTATAATGTGTATTTGACAGAGCCTATGCAGGAGCCGCAGGGGAACATTGGTGTTCCTAGGGACATTAGCAGCCCTATCACATCTGATGAAGAGTACCTCAGCCCACTGGAGGAAGGCATGGACTTTGGAAGCCCAGAGCCCAGGAAGATAGTGGACACTCGATTCAAGGAGCCTCCTGCCTTCCAGGTGAGACTGTGTACCGCTGGTTCCCAAAATGATCTCTCGGGCGTCTCACCTGGCTTTCGTTGACTTTCCATTATATTGTAGGCAAGGGATCAGTTTGGGATTTTGCAATTATATTTTGTTCAAACATTTTTTTATTGGCATTGCAATACACTGGAAATTGATTGAATCTATAAATTGCTTTTAACTAAATCTGAAAGCACTTCGTATGGTGATTCACCTCATCCAGCATGCATTTGATGTTCCATATAGTGTAGTTTGCATTTTTTAAGTTATAGCATGGACATTTGTCTATGTGTTCTCAACTCCAATTTCAAAATGGCTCATCATCCTTTTTAACAGGTAACTATGAATGATCAAGCGGTCATTGAGGGACAACAGGTCACCATGTCTGTCCGAATAAGTGGGCAGCCCAAACCCATGCTTTATTGGTAGGTTTCCACCATCAAATCCAACTCATTGCTCTTTGTTAAAAGTGGAACTGACAGCATTTTAGAAAGATTAAATCTCATTAAAATCTCTTCATATACACCCCCAGGAAGAATATGACACCTATTTTTTAAAACATTTTCTGACAAGCAATATGGTCATTTTCAAGTTTTCATAAACTCATAGAACGTTTGGGAATGACGTGTAGTAAGGCATTTGTGAAATGTCTATAGTAATATAGAGTGGAAAAGCGGCCGTACATTTGCAAAATTAATAGACACTGCAATAAATAAAACCAAATTAAAACAATCCTTCACAATCCTATTGATCAAACAACCATGAAAAGGTAGGCTCTTTCTCCCTCAGTTACCTATGCACATCAACAACAACAAGATCAACGACTAATGCTAGCCAGAGTGAGATTAGCTAAAATCTAACGAGGGAACATTAGATAAACCCTTTCAAGCTTTTTCAGCTAGTTGGCTGTCAAAATTGCACTGATAAACAATTGGGCCTGCTCATCGTTCTGCAGCTTGCCTGTCCAATGCATGCATGTCCCAGCCCACGTTTTGACAACTGAATGGGAACTTGCCTGCCTGCCCACCCATTTGATCGATGCCAAATACATTTGATTGACAACTGAGATATATGCTAACTGTGGATAACACTAATTAAGTTCAGCATAGCTAGCTAGCCAAATTCACATTTCTTGCTAGCTAACCAAATGACACCATGCAGCGTGTCTAGCTGTAGCCAATTTAAAAAACGATATGAGGGGAAAAAGTTGGTCACTCACCCAATCCTCCAATGACATGACATCCTCCCAGCAGCTAGGTCACTAGCTAGCTATTGTTAGGCTCCTTCTTTTTAGCTTGCTAAATAAATAGCTGGTTACATAAATAGATATGCTAGCCCAGGGGTGTCAAACTCAATCAGCGCAAGGGCCATATTGAAAAAAAAACAAACTCGTGGACCAGACATAGCCTATTTGTTTTGTTTTCTAACGTGCAACTGCGACCCAAACTGGCCATTGTTTCATTATAAATAAATATGGCCCTGGGCCCGAGAGGTGCAGCGGTCTAAGGCGCTGCATCACAGTGCTTGAGGTATCACTACAGACCTGGGTTTGATCCCAGGCTGTGTCACAACCGGCTGTGACCGGGAGTCCCAATAGGGCGGCGCACAATTGGCCCAGCGTCGTCTGGGTTAGGGGATGGTTTGGCCGTGGGGTCTTTACTTGGCTCATTGCGCTCTAGCGACCCCTTGTGCGGGCCGGGCGCCTGCAGGCTGACTTCGGTTGTCAGTTGAACAGTGTTTTCTTCGGCTGGCTTCCGGGTTAAGCGGGCGGGTGTTAAGAAGCATGGTTTGGCGGGTCATGTTTCGGAGGACGCATAACTCGACCTTCGCCTCTCCCGAGCCCATTGGGGAGTTGCAGCGATGAGACAATATCGTAATTTGATCGCAATTGGATATCACGAAATTGGGGAGAAAAGGGGGTAAATAAAATGAAATATACATACAATAAAAATATGTCCCTTTATAATGTCCACTTACAGTGCATTCGGAAAGTATTCAGACCCCTTTACTTTTTCCGCATTTTGATACGTTACAGCCTTATTCTAAAGTATTCCATCTACTCACAATACCCCATATTGACAAAGCGAAAACAGTTTTTTTGAAATGTTTGCAAATGTATTAAAAATAAAAAAGAGAAATACCTTATTTACAGAAGTATTCAGACCCTTTGCTATGAGACTCGAAATTGAGATCAGGTGCATCCTGTTTCCATTGATCATCATTGAGATGTTTCTACAATTTGATTGGAATCCACCTGTGGTAAATTCAATTGATTGGACATGATTTGGAAAGGCACACACCTGTCTATATTAGATCCCACAGTTTACATGCATGTCAGAGCAAAAACCAAGCCATGGAAGGAATTGTCAGTAGAGCTCCGAGACAGGATTGTGTAGAGGCACAGATCTGGGGAAGGCTACCAAAAAATTACTGCAGCATTGAAGGTCCCCAAGAACACAGTGGTCAGGGAGGTGACAAGGAACCCAATGGTCACTCTGACAGAGCTCCAGAGTTCCTCTGTGGAGATGGGAGACACTTCCAGAAGGACAACCATCTCTGCAACACTCCACCAATCAGGCCTTTATGGTAGAGTGGCCAGACGCAAGCCACTCCTCAGTAAAAGGCACATGACAGCCCGCTTGGAGTTTGCTAAAAGGCACCTAAAGGACTCTCAGACATTGAGAAACAAGATTCTCTGGTCTGATGAAACCAACATTGAACTCTTTGGCCTGAATGCCAATTGTCACGTCTGGAGGACACTTACATTTTATCCAGAGTGACTTACAAATTGGTGCATTCACCTTATAGCCAGTGGGATAACCACTTTAAAATATTATTATTATTATTATTTCTATTTTTTTTGTGGGGGGGGGATAGAAGGATTACTTTATCCTATCCCAGGTCTTCCTTAAAGAGGTGGGGTTTCAAGTGTCTCCGGAAGGTGGTGAGTGACTCCGCCGTCGTGAGGGAGCTTGTTCCACCATTGGGGTGCCAGAGCAGCGAACAGTTTTGACTGGGCTGAGTGGGAACTGTGCTTCCGCAGAGGTAGGGGGGCCAGCAGGCCAGAAGTGGATGAACGCAATGCCCTCGTTTGGGTGTAGGGACTGATCAGAGCCTGAAGGTACGGAGGTGCCGTTCCCCTCACAGCTCCGTAGGCAAGCACCATGGTCTTGTAGCAGATGCGAGCTTCAACTGGAAGCCAGTGGAGTGTACGGAGGAGCGGGGTGACGTGAGAGAACTTGGGAAGGTTGAACACCAGACGGGCTGCGGCATTCTGGATGAGTTGTAGGGGTTTAATGGCACAGGCAGGGAGCCCAGCCAACAGCGAGTTGCAGTAATCCAGACGGGAGATGACAATGCCTGGATTAGGACCTGTGCTGCTTCCTGTGTAAGGCATGGTGGTACTCTCTGAATGTTGTAGAGCATGAACCTACAGGATCGGGTCACCGCCTTGAACGACAGGGTGTTGTCCAGGGAGGAGGACACAACAAAGTTGTCAACCGTGATGGCGAGATCATGGAACGGGCAGTTCTTCCCCGGGAGGAAGAGCAGCTCCGTCTTGCCGAGGTTCAGCTTGAGGTGGTGATCCGTCATCCACACTGATATGTCTGCCACACATGCAGAGATGCGATTCGCCACCTGGTTATCAGAAGGGGGAAAGGAGAAGCTTAGTTGTGTGTCGTCTGCGTAGCAATAATAGGAGAGGCCATGTGAGGATGTGACAGAGCCAAGTGACTTGGTGTATAGCGAGAATAGGAGAGGGCCTTGAATTGAGCCCTGGGGGACACCAGTGGTGAGAGCACGTGGTGCGGAGACAGATTCTCGCCACGCCACTTGGTAGGAGCGACCTGTGAGGTAGGACGCAATCCAAGAGTGAGCCGCGCTGGAGATGCCCAACTCGGAGAGGGTGGAGAAGAAGATCTGATGGTTCACAGTATCAAAGGCAGCAGACAGGTCTAGAAGGACAAGAGCAGAGGAGAGAGAGTTAGCTTTAGCAGTGCGGAGAGCCTCCGTGACACAGAGAAGAGCAGTCTCAGTTGAATGACCAGTCTTGAAACCTGACTGGTTTGGATCCAGCAAGAGAGTTGGCTAAAGACGGCACGCTCAAGAGTTTTGGAGAGAAAAGAAAGAAGGGATACTGGTCTGTAGTTGTTGACATCGGAGGGATCGAGTGTAGGTTTTTTGAGAAGGGGTGCAACTCTCTCTCTCTTGAAGACGGCAGGGACATAGCCAGCGGTCAAGGATGAGTTGATGAGCAAGGTGAGGTAAGGGAGAAGGTCTCCGGAAATGGTCTGGAGAAGAGAGGAGGGGATAGGGTCAAGCGGGCAGGTTGTTGGGCGGCCGGCCGTCACAAGTCGCAAGATTTCATCTGGAGAGAGAGGGGAGAAAGAAGTCAAAGCATAGCAGTGTGAGCAGGACCAGCAGTGTCATTTGACTTAACAAACGAGGATCGGATGTCGTCAACCTTCTTTTCAAAATGGTTGACAAAGTCATCCACAGAGGGGGAGGGGGGGGGGGGGGGATTGAGGAGGGAGGAGAAGGTGGCAAAGAGCTTCCTAGGGTTAGAGGCAGATGCTTGTAATTTAGAGTGGTAGAAAGTGGCTTTAGCAGCAGAAACAGAGGAAGAAAATGTAGAGAGGAGGGAGAGAAAAGATGCCAGGTCCGCAGGGAGTCTAGTTTTCCTCCATTTCCGCTCGACTGCCCTGAGCCCTGTTCTGTGAGCTCGCAATGAGTCGTCAAGCCACGGAGCAGGAAGGGAGGACCGAGCCGGCCGGGAGGATAGGGAAAGGAGGAGAGGAGGATTGAGGAGGCAGAATCAGGAGATTGGAGGGAGAAGGATGGAGCAGAGGGAAGAGATGATAGGATGGAAGAGGAGAGAGTAGCGGGAGAGAGAGAGCGAAGGTTGCGATGGCGCATTACCTTCTGAGTAGGGGCAGAGTGAGTAGTGTTGGAGGAGAGTGAGAGAGAAAATGATACAAAGTAGTGGTCAGAGACATGGAGGGGAGTTGCAGTGAGATTAGTAGAAGAACAGCATCTAGTAAAGATGAGGTCAAGCGTATTGCCTGCCTTGTGAGTAGGGGGGGGCGGTGAGAGGGTGAGGTCAAAAGAGGAGAGGAGTGGAAAGAAGGAGGCAGAGAGAAATGCGTCAAAGGTAGACGTAGGGAGGTTAAAGTCACCCAGAACTGGGAGGGGTGAGCCATCCTCAGGAAAGGAACTTATCAAGGCTTGGCACCATCCCTACGGTGAAGCATGGTGGTTGCAGCATAATGCTGTGGGGATGTTTTTCAGCGGCAGGGAGACTAGTCAGGATTGAGGGAGGAACGGAGCAAAGTACAGAGAGATCCTTGATGAAAACCTGCCTAAGAGCACTTCGGACCTCAGACTGAGGAGAAGGT